AGCTTCGCTCGCCAGTGGTCGTCCTGTTCCAGGACCTTTAAGGCCTCATGAGAGATGCTGTCAGGGCCGCAAGCCTTGGAGTTTTTCCATCGTTTCCGAACAGCTTTCAACTCCTCTTCGCTAAAGGGGCGCCATGGGAAGAGCTTGCATCGCCTCGTAATGCGGTGCGTGATTGTCGCGAGGCGGCGTGCAACCACTTCGATGTCCCCCTTGTGGAAAATGCTGCCAAAGTGTTCTGTAAGGGTGTCCCGCCACCTGTCGTCACTGCGAAGCCGAAGTTCCCATGCATTGTCGTGTTTCTCGTTGTCCACCGCGCGTTTCGCCTGCCACCACTGCTTGCCCGCGAGCGTGAGCTGCTCGGTTTTCCAGTTGCGGTGCTCGGCTCTTCTTTGCTTTGCTAGGGCTTTCCATTGCTGTTTACGATCGTCCCCCGCCGGCATCTGCAATATGTGCCTCCGGAGACGTCGAGTCTCAATGCTCTCGCGGAAGACCTCGAGGCGCCGTCCAGGCGTGGTGATCGCCACGGAGATGTCGGCGATCAGTTTGATGGGGTCCGTGGAGGTCATTGCAAAGTTCTGAAGGGCGTGCTCGATCTTGTCGCTGGTGCGAAGCTTCCTGGTCCCCCACGTCTTCGCGGCTTTCAGCTGTGGCAGGGGAACTGGTTGAGCTAACTTCACGGAAACGGGCTCGTGATCACTGCGGGCCAGGTCGCGTTTGTCGTGGACCTTCCCTTCGTCCGAAAACATGTGGCGAGTACATATGTAATCAAGCCGTCGGGGGAGCATGGCGGTGTTGTACGGGAAGTAGGTCGGCTTGGAAAGTTCTTGCAGGGGGAACTTGAAGTCGCCGGCAGTCAAGTGATCCAGCAGCAGTTCACCTCTTGCCGTCTCGGAGGAGACCGCGGTCCCCGTCCTGGCTCGGAAGGTCTCGTTGGCGTCCATACCGAGGACTCCTTTGGGCTCCCAAAGGTACTGCTGCTCCCATGTATTGAGAATGTCCGCGGCTTCCGGAAGCGTGGCGTGGTGTGGGAGATGCCCACTGAGTGCCAGAAACCGCAGGTCCCCTTGTTGGAGAGTAGTGCAGATCCCCGCCTTGAGCAGCTTGTTGCGACTGTGTCGGTATTCGGCACTGTGCACTATAGCTGTTCCTCTGCACTCTGTCGCCTGCTTCCCCGCGATCATCTGCAAGTCCCCCTTCTCATACTCAGTCTTGCCATCATCGACAATCACCTCTTGGAGGAGTGCGACGAAGGGCTCGTCGAAAGGATGAATTCGTTCTTTTCGAAAATCCCCCAGTAGCCGGAGGGCATCATCTGGTGTGAGGCCTCCAACGTTCCAGGTAAAAACATGCATGTCCCCGCGGTCGGTGTCCTGGGCCACGGGGTGAGACTCTTCGTCCGAGCGTGGTCAGGTCAATGCCTTCCTCAGCTCCCCCCACCTTTCAGTGAGAGAGCTCAAGGATGTGCCCAGCTGCCGTGCCAACGTAGGTAACGACAACCATCCTACTCCTGCCTTATCCGCTTCATCTGGTGCCATCAGGACGGCGCTTGCGATGCGAACTTTGCTGTACCAGACGTTCCCCGCCCCGAACTCGACCTCCAATTTGTTGCGATCGCCGGATTCCTCCAAGATCAGTCGTTTGACCTTGCCCGCGAATTGGGCTCGTCGGCGTCTTTCCGGACTTTCACTCATGGCCGCCCAGAGGTGACGTTCCCCGCCTTGGGGCCTGGCTCCCGTGACGATCTTCGCCTCGCGGCCTCGCTGAAGGACTTCTCTGATCCGCCGTCTGTAATCAAACACAGCTTCATCCCTGCGGGGCCCAATCGGGACTATGGCGAAACCTCTGCGGAGTCCAGGGACAAAGGCGTCCCCCAGGTCCAGATCACACTGCAATTCTGTCAAGTGTTTCTTGACAAGTTCCAGGGTCTCTTCAGCGCTTTGGTCGTTGTCCCATCCACCTACCACAATGGCCGGCCGAGGGGCGGCATCATGTCCCCCGGGATCGGTGCGGGTGCTCGCTGTAGAGAAGCTGGCCGTAGCGAACTTCCCTTCCAGCAACTCCAATCGTCTGGCAAGGTCTTCGTGTCCCGTCACCACTTTGTTCACTGATTGCTCGATATGGACATGCCTGTCTGTCATTGCCCCCAGGAGCTCGGTGGTGCGCTTGACGTGCTCATCCATGTTGACTTCGACTTGGGCCACACGTTGGCCGATTCCAGCAATGCTCTCCTGGATTGTGTCGGTGATCTGTTGCTGGTTGAGCTGCAGGGCCTGCTGTAGTGCAGCCAGGGTCAGGGGGGGCGACGTGTCTCGAGTCTCGTCCCCCTCCTCTTCCCGAACTTCGCGGGCACGCTTCGGGCTTGCCTGCGGCCCTTGGGCGTTCGTCCCCCCGGAGGGGTTGCCTTCCATGCTGGACGAGGAATGCATTCTCGATGTACCGGCTGAAGTAGTACGTTGCACAACGAGCTCAATGCTTATCTCCCCTTCTCAACGGTCCGAATCCCTCCCACCTGCTCGGGCACCTGTGGGGTCGCCGATTGCGGCGACGGCGAGGATTGACAATGTCCCCCTGGAGCAGCGCACGGATTGCGTTGGGCTCCCTTCGTGACGATGTCCGACTCCCGGACCCCCGCGAGGAAGACAAGTAGTACACACGTGGATGCCCTCGAACAGGTAATGGCACGTCTGTCACTCTCAGGCTTTGCGTCGCAAGTCCCCCGGGTTGCTCCCCCGACGGCTCTAGTTAACTCTCAATGCAGGGCTGGGGGCTCGAACCACTTGAGCCAAAATGGCTTGAGCCAAAATGGCTACTCTCTCTCTCTCTCTCTCTCTCTCTCTCTATTTGTGTATAAGACAGTGTATATATAAATATAAAGTATTGATGTACACGTTGTTGATTACTGCTCTTCTTAGTGTCATTGTTAACCTGTGTATATATGTATATACACATATGTATACATGTATACGTATGTGTGTATGTATGTATGTATGTATGTATGTATGTATGTATGTATGTATGTATGTATGTACATATATATATATATATAAAGCCAAACACGCTTTATAGAACATATGTATGTGTACATGTAAACCGGTATGTAACTAAATACATGCATGCACAAGGAAGACGATCGGAGGGAAGTTTGTCCACACTGAGGCTGGCGCCTGGTGCATCAATTTCGACCTGCGGGGACTGACTTGTTTCTTGTCTTGTATTCTGCATGTCAGACATGTGGAATCGCTGAGCGAAGTCCAAGGCTGCTACAACGCGTTCACGAGCTCCAAGAATAGCTTCGGCTGCTCCAATTCTGAAGAACCTGCTCCCACTACCACGGCTGCACACATGCCAGCACATGCCACTTCGCGATACTTGCCTGCACCTGCGTTTGAGGGGCTGCTCGCTGCTTGGCTCGCGTGTTCACTACCTCACATGCATCTCCACCTGTGTGCCAAAGTTACCAAAGCAAAGGCCGAAACTGCAGGGGCCCGAGCTATACAGCACAGCGATGGTCATTGGATCCTTCCAGCTTTGCGTATCGCTGGGGCGACTTTGCTTACATTGCCTGGCCTCACAAACGGATCTCAAGAACTCGAGCGATGTCGCCCTCTGCCACCTTCGCTCACTTTCACTAGATTCGGCAAGAGCCTTCAGGATTTCACCACCAAGCACCCCACAAGGAGCGCTCCGCATTGGTTAAATCAAGCATGAGGTGGAGAAACACCTGCAAACGCACGGCCAGGTCACGGGCACTCAACATGCTCGAGGGCACCTGAAGCTCTGGCAGCATGTCCGCAGCCAGCGCGGGGTGAAAGATCTGCCGACAGTGCTTGTCGGTCGGAGACAAATGACTGCTGGCACGACAGGAAAGTAGTCGCACGACGGTCTGGAAACATCTTGAACACCATGTGTTTGGTTTGGCTCCTGCTGAAGCAGCTGCACGCTGCGGATCCTGCAAGCAGGCGACAAGCATCTCAAGCAATGCGTCAGTGACCGACACCATTGGTTGAGCATGGCACAGGATGGCGAAGTCAAAGCAGCCACGCAAATTCTTCAGAAGGGCTGCACACACCTTGGAATGACTTGGTCTTATCCCCAAGTTGCTTCAGTGAGGTGGGTTCCCTGTGGCCAAGGCATTGTGGCGCAGCCTTAGCGATGCAACACTTAGCAAGGCCCCGCTCCACGTCCGTGTCAGAAGAGTATTCTGTCCGCATCCACTGCGAGGCTGCACACAAGGGGGCAACCGCCTCTCTGCGGGCACAGTTGGAGATGCACTGAGGCCCGGGCAGAGCAAAGCAGGCTGGAACAGCCTTGAAAATGGACGGGTGCCTTGGATGCACCGTGTGGCGAAAGCGCAGGCCTTGGGACCTTAGGCTCCTGCGAAGAGATGCAAGCTCCGAGGAGCTCCAAGCCTCGGAGGCGCCAACAATGCAGCCTGCAGCCTGCTCCGGTCTGCTGCGGTCCGCTGCGGTCTGCTGCAGTCTGCGCTTGGAGTGCGCGCGAACACGCGCAGTCGACCACCCAGGCGATGTATCCACAAGTTGTTGGGGAACAGATATGCCACACCTCTGGGAATGCTTGCAGTTGAGTGGGGGCGATGCCCCGCGGGGGATGATGTCGTTTAGTGCGAAATCGCCTACGGCTGCTCTGTACCGGCAACCTGAATCGGTCGGATGCCACGACCAACAGGTCACGGCTACTTGAAATAAAGGCACCCCACGAGTCCGAGTCCGGAAAAAAACAAGGAATACGAAAGAGCACATCAAGCCCCAACTTCTTTTCTCCTCTGGTTTGCACCAAAACGACAGTGTAGCATCTTGAAATCCTGTGATTGATTGACTACCTTCTTGTTCCGCCACAGCTTTCGAAAATATTGCTACCAGCATTTACACGAACCACACGCGGCACAATCCTCAGCTCGCCGAAGCTCAGCAGCACCGACTTTAGTGTCTGCAAGTAAACACTACCGGCATGACTCACCCGGGCTGGTATATAGAAGCTTCATATTGCATTATGTCCCCATTGAACCAGTTGCACTCGAGACGATATCCCTTTCACGAAGGACAGACTTGTACTTGCATCGGCATGGACCATGTCTCATGGTCTGAAGCACTCGTGATGTCCCAGCTACTGATCTTCAGGCCAATCACCTTCCTTGCCGAGTTCAGGCTCTACAGAAGCGGTTTGATCCCGCACACCTTGATACTGGAGAAACAGTCTCAGTTCGCGACGAGGATGCAAAAGCAGGCGCGGGCACCATGTCGCCAGGTCATCGCGGAGGTCCCAGAGTTTCGCGTGCTTGTGGTGGGAATGGAAACATGACTTGTGGTAGGACGCTGGGTTTGATGCGACCTTCTTCCTCTTTTTTGCCATTCAGGCTCTCTCGAGCGGAGAGGCCGAGCTTCATGCGATTGGGTCTGGGACCGCAGACGCTTGTGGAGGAGCCTTCGCTTTTTCAGAAGGCGAAGCTTTGTACTGACTCCAACATTGGCGAGAGTATTGCTTCATGTTTTGGCTCTACTCGTAAGACTAAGCCAAGCACACAGAGCTCAGGTTTCTTTACGTTCAAGAAGGCATGGTTCGCATGTACAAGTGTTGGGTACCTTAAACAAGTCGGATATGCTGACGAACGTTGCACCGCCATCTAGCTCCTTTTGAGTTCGAGATTCGGCCACCCTCACCTGGGTTCCGGGCTTTGCCACTCTCACTTTTCAGAACAGACAAGAAAGAAGAGGACAGAAAAAGAATCTCGTACGAGCACAAGGTTTAAGTTGCGGCACACGGCTTGGGAGTTCAAGCCACCCCAGGTGATGATGTCAGCCCAACAACAGTAAAACTTTATAGCAAAGAGTTTATAAGCCGGAGGACCGGCGCCGCACCTCGAAAACGATTCCGTGTGCACGACAGGCTTCGGGGATTGCGCACTTCGCGAACATGGCGTTTGGATTTCTGTTCTTTTGGGCTTGCATACATTCGGCTCCATGGACCAGAACAGCAACGTCCAAGTAGACCCCCATTCCACAAGCAACCGTTCGAGACACACACACACACAGACAGGTAGGTGGTTACCCATAACAACATCCCAGCCTAAACCCATCCAGTCACACATATCAGTGGCAACACAATACATCAAAACCCAACCATTCCCGATGTAGATGCTCGATTTCACAAGCACATAAGCAAGAAACACATCAGTGGCATCGCAGCAAGCAGCGAACCAAAACCAGCCATTCCCGATGTAGACGCTCGATTTCGCAAGCATTGCCGATGTAGACGCTCGATGACGCAGGCACCAAATCCAGACACAGGTGGCATCACAACATACCCAAGCTCAAGGAAAGACCGAGCACAGTACTGGATCGCGCATAAGCTACAGACTGGAGGCACATTGGAGTTGGGACGACTTGAACCTACCGCTAGTACTTCGTTGGTGTTGGTGTTGTTGGCTAGGTTGGCGTCGTTGGGCATTATGCACTTTTGCGGACATGTACTTGTCATGCTTGTGCGGACATGTGCGGACATGTCACTTTTCGTAGACACTTGTCAATCCTGTCATGTTACTTTGCAGTGCACTTCGGCATGTCTTCGACTTTCGTTCGTCTCGAACTTCTGGCTTTCTCCGAGCCGAATTTTGGAGGTTTTAAGTTTTAACGAAGGTATTCCACTTTGGTTTTTCTCCGTCCCGAAATCGGAGAAAGATTACCCGTGAAACAGCACAAGCACCACTTACTACATAAGGACCCGAGGCCCCACATTCGAGCTCACCCAACTTTGATTTTCAAGGCTTGCCTGGGTTTGTCGTGGGCTTTGCTTTTAACTTTGTGCTTTGCCGCCGCAACATCTTCAGTTGAAGTTGGGCCGCTTCGATTCGCTCGCTTGTGCCACTGCTCTGCAACCGTCTGCTCACTGTGCTGGCTTCGCTGGAAGACTCTTACAGTGGCTGGTCGTCCAGGCACCCAGGATGCCCCACTTTCCCCGAGCAGCGCCTTCGTTCAAGAGGCCGGGACTTTTCCGAGGTGACTTCGCAGGACTTCCGCTGCCAGCAGGGCCAGAGCTCCTTTGCCACCCAACTGTGTCTTCTATGTTTTCGCAGTTTCTTCCTACGCCTGTGGACTTTGGTCAACTACGGGTCCTTGGCTGTGGAGTGGGCCAAGGATGCGGAGACTTTATCCAGTACTTTATTCGCTGGCTGGTGCACCGCATCAGGGCGCTTTATCGCGGCCAGGATGCCGCCTGAGCAAGTGCCAGAGCAAGTTTTGCCAGGCGACGGCAGCATTTTTGGAGGTGTCCCAGCGACTTTCAGCGCGCACAGCATGTGCCTGGAACCGGCTACTATTGCCGGCCTGCTGGCGACACATCTGGTCAAGCAACTTTGGATGCCAGGCCACCCACGACCAGGCATCGCCACTTGGCTGCGACTTTGCCGCAGCTTTCGGCGGCGCTTTACCCGGGACGCGAACACCCTGGATTTTGGACACCTATGGAGCTGTGGCAAGTGGCTCTGTCAAGTGACTATATTTCAGCATGTTTTCCACTAGCTTTTGCCGGGCATCCCGAGGACTTTGCCGGCTTCACGCCTTTGTTCGAATTACTCTGCTGTGGACTCGATGAAAGCCATGTTTCACATGGCCGCAACTCTTACCAACTTTAACACGTTCCCGACTATGAGCCTATCGTGGGGTCGGACACATGACACATCATGACACCATGCTCCCCACGAACTTTTTGCAGCGGTGGGCTAGGCCACGACTTTAGGCAACTGTTACTCGGAGGCTTTTCGTGCCACTGCCTTAGTGCTGGCATTGGGCCACTTTACATGCAAAATGGGCCACTTCTCCCACCGCAGGGTATTGAGTCACCCACCAAACCCTTGTATCGCTGCACATTGATAGGCCGATGCAGCAGACACAAGACGAGCATCACTGCCCGATACAGACCCAACAATACGCACTACGACACAACGAGCTACGCAGCTGTTTCACTTCTCTCCTGAGCGACTTTTGTGCTGTAGATATAAGGCATCCAAAAAACTTTTTGCAGCAGCGTCGTGTAAAGACTTTGTGCACAGCGACCCGATTGAAGCTGACTGTAGTTGTACGCGCTTGTTCCTGCTTTGTCAGTACCATGCTTTACAAACTTTACACTCACGGATGTGAAAATGTGAGCACTTTCCTCCCATGTCATGTCGCATGGCTCAAGACTGCACTTCGTGCGCTGAGACGAAAGGCGCTTCCGTGAACTTTCAGGGCTACTCTGGCTTCACAAGTTGAGTGGAGCACGCTACTTTAGAGTAGTTTGTGTAGTTCCCTGATACGTTGTGCTTTCGCACTGTCTGCATTCGACGCGCTGACTATCGGTCCGAGGCTGTGAATGATTGCATAAGTGCATGTGTATATGTACATATGATACATATGTATGTGTGTGTGTGTGTGCGTGTGTGTGTGTGTGTGGGGCTGTCGTGACAACTCAGATTCAACCTTTCCCGCAGCAAGGTCCACAAGCAGCCGGAAACAGCTCCAAGCGCAGGGCAAAGCGGCCGCGGAAACTTGACGTTGGCCAGCCAGTAACCCTGTCCACACTCGCTGCAGATCAAACGGCAGGTGCACAGCTGCATCATCACTCTGGCCTCTCTGTTTCCTGTGCGCATCCTTTCACTCGGGTCCATTGAGTATCTGGTGGACCTCTGCATGCACTACATGCCCTCCAGATCTGGTCTCGCAACAGCCAGCCAAGAATGTGCAGCGAACATGTCTATGGCCTTGGCGCAAAGTGTGCAACTGACATGCCATGTACGTATCAACCAACGGATCTTGGAAAGATGATAGTGGTGGAAGCAACGCTACTCGTCAAGCCCTTCCCGGCAGACTCGCGCCTGCAAGACCTTTGAATTGAATTTCCATGTTGCACAGGATGACGTTTGGATAAACCGATAAACACCAGGCGCATGTTTTGCTCATAAACTGCTATGCTTGACCACCCCTGCGTGTGCTGAAACATCGTCTGCAACATTGAGTCTTGAAGTCTGGTGCCGAATGGTGCCGAAACACCCCAAAAAAAGCAACGGCACCCAGATCACTTACCCCCCCGCCCGTAACCGCCACTTGACCACGACAACAGCCTGCCGCCAGCATTTGGCCAATTCCATCTGTTATCCCTTAGCAAACTTTTGGGGCTTCCCTTCCACTTTTTTGCGGTTCTGGCCTGACAGGGTTTCAGACTTGGACTTTTCAGGCGAAACTGACAGGGTTTAGTTTGCTGTTTGGATCTTGGCGCTCCGAGTGCAGCAACTTCGGACAGTCCAGGCGAGGCCGCTGACGAGTCCGAGTCCACAGGCCAAAGCAACCCAACCAAATTGGCAATCAGAGTCCGCTCGGAGACCACTCCACCACCACGAAAAACAAATAAACCCGACACCTCTGCAACCAGAACCAGAACGAAAACACATCGTGTAGCTTAATTAGTCTGGCCAAGAGCCTCCTTCAAACAACCAGCACGTTTCCAGCCGCGTCGTCGCCTTTGCCATTTAGCACCTTTGACCGCCAAGCAAGCTCCTCACGACCTGCGCAGTCCTATAGACTCGACGAAGGACGGACCACGGGTCTGCTGCGCCGATTCTGCTCGCAGAGACTGAGGGCAAATGACTTCTTCACGACGCTGTTACATGGGGATACATGGGGTGGTTGCGGGCCTCGGTCCTGATCCATGAAGGACTCGCGGGGCAACCGGCTTGCGGAATAGGGACCTCTTCCGCCGGCAATGTTTAACGATGGTTTAAGTCCGAGATATTGGCCCTGTCTCCGAGCTGACAGGGATGCAAAAATTCAATCTTGTCATGGTGAACTAGGTCGCCACACATTCGGAACACTGAACTCCGATGTGCATCGTTGCAGTCGTGAAGCCTTCACCGGCCCACTAGACTGCAGCCAATCCAAAGCCAGTTTTATGTCTGCGTGGTCCATGCCAACACAATGGCATGGCAAGCAACACGAAAAGCGCGCAATGCCAACGTGATGTTCATGCTGTATTCGTGCGTGAGCAAGCTGGGGCAAAGCGTGTCGTAGGAGGAGCGGTCAGAACGATTGGCAGTTCAAACCAGGCTCACACCGCCGAAGTGAAACGTATGGCCCTTCACATCGCAGGATGTTTCGGGGGAAGGCTGCACATGTGCAAGACTACCATTGCAACATGCTTGCAGGCGGCCCAGGGGCGGCCCAGGAGAGAGCAAAATGCAGGACATGATGAGACCCACAAAATCTCGCTGCATCAGAGCGACACAATACAGTCTCCAACTGGTGATTCACTATCATTAGAGGCACAGTGCTGCTGTGACGGCACTTGGGCATCCGACATGCTGGAGACATCGTAATCCGCCATGACCTCAGTCTTTAGACGTCAGACTTTCCTGGTTCCTCGCACCTGCTTAACGGCCTTCGTCCTCACAACATGTTCCCGCACATGACCACTTGCATTTGGGTGGCTACATGCAGAACATCACCCTGATGCTGGGCTCACACTACATGCCTCAGAGGCTCTTTACGAAAACACGAAATCTGTTCAGAGTTCATCGGGCACCTGGCACAAAGATCTTGCACAAAGATGTAATACCTCAGGGCGCACGGCATGAACAGCAGCAATGCTGCGATACGATGTTTGTGGAGGTTGGCGGCCGTTTGCAGTGCATCTCTGCCACCTGAGCCGGCTGCATTCGGAGCGGTCCTCTCAGCCCATCTGGGGCCTGACACAAAGGTGGGGGTGGGGGGCGGGGGGCGGGGTCGTGTGGCGGCTTGGGGGGTTTGCCTCCTGCAACCTGCTGTCAGCTTCAAACCCCGTCTTCGCAGCTATGCTGATAAAAGGAGGATTCGTCTTCGCTCAATGCCGCCAACATGCGCCTGGTTGGGCGCCACGTTGGGCCTCAGCAGAACCCCGTCGTCTCTGGAGATCTCTGGAGCTAGGACGCCAAAAGATGGGCAATGGCAGTTGCGGCTGCAGAAGCAGACAGTCAGTGCTCAGACCCTGTTGAACAGTCCAGTCATACGATTCCGGTGAGCACAGGCGGCAAACCCCTTGAGTAGGATGGGCCATCAGCATCGCAATGTTCATCATCGTCGGTGCATGTGGAAATTCTTAACTACCTGCTGAGTGGGAGAGCCAGATTTAACAATAATGATGATGATGGTAGGAAACTATCAGCATGCAACAAAATGACAGTTATCTTGCGGGGCTGTGTTCAAGAAATTAAAACAGAAACATATACCTTCATTGAAAGGTGGACCAAACCAAAACAGAGACATAAAGGGAGATAGTGATTAGTGCAAATTGTATGCTAAGATATATGGCTGAATTTCACTCAGAGTATGCTACGGCATGCAGCAAACAAAAGCGCAAAACAACTCAGAAACCGATATACTCTCAAAAACGATGAAAGATCTGATACAAAAGTTAATGACGAAAACAGAAATTAGAAGCAGTAACATGCTGCGGTTTTTCTCACCTACATTGCCACAATGAGGGCTTGCTCTGGTAATTGGTAAGATCATTACAATGCTATTAACCGTCGCTTGTTTGAAATCGCTGTCAATCCTAATCAAGAACATATTACTAACATCTTTAGCGTTCGTGCTTATATAGAAAAAAGAATAACATGCAACAATCACGACTTTTTGATGCTTGTCATACAACGTGCTTGAGTCCACCTGTGCTTTCTCTGCTAAGGATGCAGTGACCGCGCTCATATTCCTGAGCATGAAGATGAATAAAGCACTAGCATTTAACCTAACAATGGGAGCCAACGAACTAAATTCCGTGTGGATAAAATACATGAGACTGAGAAGGCATTAACCTTGTGCTTTTCAATCATCCGCCTTCACGCTGCTACTGGGTCATATTCCTCATAATAAAGCTGCTTTTTCTGCAGCATCTTGTTACATCACTCGTGCATTTCTTAAGAGCCGTCCAAGTGTCGTCCACGTGAACACTAGACGAAACGATGTAAACTGTAAATTCTCTCAAAAGGATCCTCTGTATATTCAGCTCTGGATAAATACTACCAGCCGTTGAAGGAGCCACGAATAACATACGGGTCGGCATCATATCAGATTTGCTGTTCTTTTCCTTGCATTCGCGTATGTCTATTGGGGCTACTATGGGAATTTCTGTGCTCACCAATTAGTAGGAAAAAACTATCTGTTAAAACTTAATGGACAAGTACTAAGACACGATAAACGACATTGAAGAAATTGAGAAAGTTGGCATGCCAGAGGCTTCTTTGCAGTTGATGAAGCAGTTATTGTGTAGGTAAAAGAATGTAAAACTGTTGATGAGTGAAAAGCAACAAATCAAGTGACGGTGGCTTCCATTTAAACACAGACGGGTTAAACTGCTTACCTTGCAAACATAGGAAACTTTTCACACAGAAACCAAGATAAACGACGAAGGCAAAACCATCATGGAAGATAGGGCTTCGTGGAGAGTAGGAAGCCAATGAATTACCCCTGATGAAAGCGACATATGCAAAACCAACTCACAAGACGGTGTCTACTGGGTGGGGATCACGCAAGCCTACCCCAGAAGAGAGGCCAGAAAAAGTGGAGGATGTTGGCAGGATGGACAAAGATGTACTTACTTTGAAGACTTCTTTATCAAGCCATGAGTTGAAGCATCTAGCTTCATTTGACAGGCCAATCCTGTGCAGTTCGTCAGAATGTCGCATGATGAACCAGTGTTGTCATAAACATTTATGAAAACTTTCTGGTGTGTAGTCAATACTACTACCAGTAAGAGTAGATAAACTATTCATTGTTTCTGTCCAGATACTAGCATTACTAGGATGTGTTACCGTTGCAAGCAAGTTAAAGATACTTCTTGCTGCAATCAACGACCATGCTGCGTGGGAAGGCATTCTTATTGGTATGTCATTTGCTTGGGCTTGTTCTGAATGAATCACCTCCTGGAGAAATGACACGTATATAGATTCGGCAATGACGGACTGCTGCTTGCATGTCGCCACATAAATGTAGTGTAGATATGATCGGTACACGGTTATATATCATATCCGGATCATTGTTGCAACATGATTGAAGTATCCAAGAAGGCAAAGCGAATGATTAACACTTCATTCCGGACCCGTATTATTTCGACTCACACACTCGCAAAGCAGGCATGGCGGTTACGGCCTGAGCTTGCAGGTGCATGGCACTCAGATTTGTCTCGCCAAGCTGACCAGGTCGCGCCGCAAATAGAAACCGTTTGAACTAGAGCAGACTGGAGTCCCAAGGCAGAATGCACTCCCTTCTGTGAACAAGGCCACCCACACATGCGCAACCATAGCGATGGAGATAATTGTAAGCATTTTTTATTCCTATGTCCTTTGTGATCTTGGACGGATATCCTAGCATTGGGTTGTCTTAAGATTCAGATAGATTTTCCTAGCATTTCCTCCAAGGCGGGCTTTGCCTATTTTCGGGTAGCATGATGACGGCGGGGCCAGTGTGTGGATTTTGATGGAAAGCGCCGTGGAACAGTGCTTGTTGGAAGTTGATGCGATTTTGGTGGGTCAGGGCTGTTGGCATGTTCGTTGAAAAATGGGATGTGGAAGACTTGGACGCTTGGGGGAAGGGGTTGGCTGGTTGAAAATGCCAAAATAAGGAGTGAAACGTTGGAATAAGTGGTGGAAAATTGATGGTATGCTCATTTAGAAATATTTGGTGAATTCGGGTGTGGGGGGGGGGGGCATGACGAGGAATGCTCCGTGGTTGGGAAACGACGAAAAAATGTGATTTTGTTGGTATGTGTGAGGTGACATACACTTAAGTAGGTAAGGTAGACAAGGTATGCTCTAACTGAGAACGCTTCAACATCCTGGAAAACCCTTCAAAACAAGGACCTGGCAGCTTTCCGACGGGCGCCCGCCGCATCACAGAACCTGACTGACACCAATGACGCGGCAACTGCGAAGTGGAGTGTTGCAGGTGAGGGTGGCTTTTTGAGAATTTATCGTGCATTGTGCGAGAGAGGCTTGGTCCGTGTTTCCCAGCAATTAGCTCTGAGGGTACTGGAAACCTGTGCAAGGTGATGGTGGCGACGAATGTCTTGCAGAAGACTTTTCTTTCTTGGAGAAATCCGCCGAGTGCTCTCTGCCTTTCCGAAAATTTCCTGCTCCGACTGGTCACTGCTAGAACCTGCTTCGTAGGTTCCAACGGCGACGCGCTTTCTCACCAAGTCTTGCTTGAGACCCCTTCGCCACATGCTGCGGACACGCATGCATCACAGGCATGCATTTTGCATGCCAATGTCTTCGCAAGTTCACGTGAATCTACAAATTCAAGCTTCAGTGCCCGTCTGTGACTCTCCGACATTCGGCAAGTTCTGCGGGTCTTTGCGGATGCAAAGCAACCATCCGCGATCACGGCGTTCACGGCGTCATGCAACACATAAGCTGGCCGGTTCTTCGTGTTTGTGCACCTCGGCACCACCTTGGCTCCGAGACGGCGCTTGCGATGGATGCCAGAGACCTTGTGGGCTCATCGGACTCGAAATCTGGAGTCGGCAGCCAGAATGGCCACCGGATCGCTAGGCTGTACTGCGATCATCCAGCAACTCCTGCTTTGGCTCAGGACTCAACGACTGCTGGAGCGACATAAGGTCGGTCAAGCGGTAGCCAAGCCTTCAGCGCTTGTCCGAAGCGGCATCTCCGGTTTGTGACATGTCGAATGGCCCTCAGCAACACAGCAGAGGCAAAGATCAGGCTCTGTCAGTGGCTTGCTGAGCTGCCCGCCGCTCTCTGGCAATGCTTCCGAGGTGTTGTCGTCTTGAAACGTCATTGACCTTGGACGGTCTGTGCAGATCGGCTCCTGACTACACAACTCACACTCAAAGCAGACGTCGGTGTCTCGAATCTGCCAAGTGGCAAGCATCTGCACAAGCTTGGCAAAGCCTGCAGCCTCCGCCTCCGTGGCCACGATCGTATGAGCCACGTGCACATACCAGCGACTGCCTGCAACGTCTTTGGGTTTTTAGTGGTGTGTCACTCTCTCGTATGCGGCAAAGCAAAGCTGGAAAGCTCGTGTGCAGTCGCCACATTTCAGAAGGGTCTCTCTGCCTTTTGTGCTGTCATGACCCGGCCGCAAAGGGTTGAGAGTGAGCTCTGCATCTTCCATGGTGATGCCACGAAGCATCTCACGAGTCCTGACAGGCACATACAGGCGCACCATCCTGCACACCTCGCCGGTCACCCCGCAATGCACGGGCCGTGTCCTGGAGTCGTGCACGAGACGCACGTTTTGCACCTGCAGCTCCTGTCTTTCAGCTATGCGGAGCGAGACATTTTCAGTGTCATAAGATAAATCCTCAGAAGAACTCAGCAAGCGATGCTGTGATACTTTTTGTGTAATTCCGCGATGCATGAGGCCTGCTGCATCGGATCGGGATCACTCAGGAGGAGGGCCCGAGCACTTCGTGCTTCGCCCAGGCTTGTGCCACGTGGAAATGTCATGTTTAAAATGCTGGGGGTCAAAATGCTGACAATGCAATTTCGGCAGCTATTTCTGCAGCCACACCTGTCCATTGTTCCAAACGATGCTCTTCTGTGTTTCCAGACAGACCTGTCCGATGAGGACATGGCCCTCCATCTCCAGGGCCACATGCGCTTCTGATTCATTTGGCATGCGACTGCCCACGACGCCGCTAGTAGGGACCCAAGGTCTGATCCAGGTGATCAGAGAGCCAGACACAGATCCGACAAGCTGCCCATCTGACTCGCAGTACCAGTTTCCCTGCAAGTGCATCAGGATGTCAAAAGTGTCATCGTCGTTCTCCTCGCTGAGATACAGCTCCGGGTCGCGGAGAACCTTCATGGCTGCACACGTCTTCCCCAAAACCAAATCGGACGAACGCTTCTTGGGAGCGATCTGGCAATCAGGGCCACAGTTCTCCTGAAACTCATTGCATCCACCACACTCCAGACATCGCAGTTGAAGGTTTCCCATTGCGCTGTGGCCGCTCTGGCCTCCTGTTCTACATGCTGGTATGGCAAATGCTATTTGTAGTTCTCTCTTGCTGTTCCTATTGACAAGGTCCTGCCCATACCTGCAATACCATGCCAAAGTAATGGCTCGTGCAAAACACAGCTTGAGAAGGTGTCACAGTCTCACAACACGCGAGCTGAGCTCGGATTAAGCGACCATGACATCCACCATGAGCTTCCAACTAGTTCCAACTGCTCCGTGCCTCAAGGAAGTTTGCCTCCCTTAGGCCGCAGGCTGCGGTGCTCACAACAGGGATACCACGGAGCTGTGCCTGACACTCGTGGTTTACATTTGAGCTTCCGTCTAAACTGTGTCGCTGTGCCTCCACAGCAACCAGGCCAAAGGACTCTTGCCAAAGCGAAGGCATCAGCAGGACCGCTGTCCTTGACGATGTCATGTCGAGAATAGATACTGCACTCGCTCTGCTGCTGCCATTGATCCTACACACACCTGTGCATGCTGATCTCGTTGGACAACAAAGCCTTTGGCTTCAGATCCGAGGCGGGCTGGGAGTCAGCACTGCGCTAGCATGAAGCGTGACAAGCATCTGCCGGTAGATTTCTTCGATGTTGTCAGTCCCCGCCACTATGGTGATATTGGGATGTGCTCGCCTCGGCAGCATTGGACGCAGGTGCACGGCGTGTTTTTGTGAGGCTTCTGAACTCCAGGATGAACTAGAGCGCAGTCTTCTGTTTCTTGGCCGGCTACAACTGGACCTCGTGCAAAGTCTTTGTCCACCCAGTGCTGACGCACAGGAACTGGATGTCGGCAAACCTGTTTTAGGGGACACAACTTCAGAACAGATTCTGTTGACTGAGGTAGCGCGAGCCAGGGAACATCAAGGCCAGGCGCAGTACCACTGCAAGGCCCTTTGCTGGGCAAGGACTGATGAAGGTGACCTCAGCATGAAGCGGAATGCCTTCTTGCGAGTGCAGGAACACAGCGAAGCTGCTATCCTCGCCATTATCCGTGCAGTCACAGTGTACCATGCAATGCATGCCTGCGCTTTTCGCAGCATGTCAAGATCTACGTCGACGTTGTCTACTTGGCACTCGGTCGTGCCAGGCCTTCGGTCAGGATGCTATGGCAACCTGTCGGGGCTGCGGGGCTCGCAGCACTCGCTCATCCGACGTGCGTTGCAGTTCGGCAAATGCTTGCTGCAACGTTGCAATTTTCTTCAAAACCTGGTCCGTCTGCAGTCGCATCTTTGCTGCAGCATCTTGCTTCTCCTCAAAGGTCGCCATCAGTCGAGATAGAGTTTGCTCAAACTCCACAATTCTGCTGGTGGCTTCTCGCTGGGCAGCTTCTCCACCAGCTGACACCACCTTGGCTGTTGCCAGAGTGGTCTGCTCGACGAGCTTCTCCTGTTCTCGTTCCAATGCACGGATTTGGTTTTGCCGTACCTCTTCAATGTGCCGTAATTCGCGCAACTTGGCCTCGGCCTTCTTGCAAGACTCCCGCTGCAACACGCTGTCCTCTGCCGCTACCTGAGGTGTCTCCGTCCTCAGCATTTCGGCTCGGGCTTCTAACCGCTTGAGATCCGAAAGGAGGTCCTCCAATCGGTTCTTCGCTTTGCTTCTTTCTCGCTTCAGCTCCAGGATCTCGCTCTCGAAACAAACTTCATCGTCTCGGCATGTTTGCTGCAGCTGCTCCAGCTCTTCTGACAAAGTTTGTATCAGGAAAGACATCTCCTTGTGCTTCTGCCATCCCTTGTAATTCTCGCTTTCTGAAATCGTGTCAAGCTCTCGGTGCAATCGCTGCAGCTCGCTTTGCTGGCCTTCAAGTTGCCCTAGCAACGCATCGATTTCGGGACTTAGTGTTTCCAAGCCCGACGAAGCCCAGGGTGCCGTCGGTGAGGCGCTTGCCACAAGCGTGGCATTGATTTCTTCGGATTCTCTGCACAATCTTCGCAATTCTTCGCACCGACCCGTTGCGATGGCAATCAGAGCCTGAGCCTCTGCCTCTGGCATGCTACCCCCCATCTTCGTTTCCGCCTGCTCCAGCTGCAAGGTGATGGCCTCAATCCTAGCCTCACTGGTCTCACGCAAGGCTCGCTGCCTTGCCAGTGCCGTGTGTAACTCAGTCTGCAAACCTACCTGAATTTGCTCGGAATCTTCAAGCAGCTGGTCAGCTCGTTGTGAGCTCGGTGCCAGTTGCTCCGACACCATGCTTTGCACGCGCTCCAGCTTCTGCAGAAGGCGCTGCTTCTGCTCGCGCAGCTGGGAGTTCGCTGCCTCAGTCCCCGATCTACTGACAAGCCAAGAAACCACACGCGTGCATTTCAACTGTGCTGGGTAATGGTACAGTCACCATGCATACCAAGACTGTTTGACTATCGTTTGCAACTAAGCAGGGCGCCTGCGCGCGTTCAAGAAGCAAACGGTGCTTCATGGGTGCCGCACAGGTTGTACGATTTCCAGTGCTGGCCAGCTTCTGCAACTCAGCGTTTTGCAGCTCCAGTGCGATCGCTTGACGCCGGGCTGAAGGCAGCTGAAAAGGAAATGTCGATTGTCTGGTCTCGCCTCGCGCTTGTACGGAATCCAGCGCTCGCACCTCTACCACTAGCGAGGCAGTCCCAACAGCAAAGCGCAACATGTGAGGTGTGCTGCCGGGAACCAGATCCGACATGGAAGGGAGCTTGATTTGGCCAAGTTCCGATTTGCAGCTTTCCAGAATGGAGAAGATAGATATGTACACGTCCGATTCCGGAGCCAAGCTGAAAGACCGACCCCATTCGGGGCGCAAAGTGTCACTGCCGGCATGAACCTCTACAGTGAGCTGCGAAGTTTGTGAAGCCGACAGGTCGGGGATAGAAAGTCGAATCTCAAACACCCTCGCTGCTGCATTGCCCATGGCGATGATGAAGGGATGAAAGACTAGCCCCTGGTGGCGTCCAGCCGATACAGCGGCAGCTCCGGCATATCCCTGCCGCTACTCAGATCGCAAACAGAAGGGCATTTTGTGCAAAGCAGAGAAGGTACAGCATGTTATGGTTCCTTGCCTGGACAGACACCCACGCACACACGCACCACACAAAAGCATTTGGCATCATAACAATGCAATGGCGCACAAAAGCGGATACTTACGGTACGAAGGGACAGACCTCAAACATGTCAAGCAAAATGGTTCGGAAACACTAGGAAACCAAGACACCGAGACATGGACGGGTAGCTACAAAGGCTGAAACAGAATGAAAGAGCGCCACACAGACAGCCGGGCCGAGCGAGAAAGAGAAACAGCGGGAGGGAGGGAGGAGGGAGGGAGGGAGGGAGGGAGGAAGGGAGACAGACAACCGAGACGCCAGTTCGCCCATCACTCAGCCTTCCTTTTAACCTACACAACAGCTCCAGCTGGCCAGGGAATGACATCTGGGCCCGCAACATACTGCCCCTTGTCGCACAAGGCCGGAGGCGAGAAACCGTGGATGCTGTCGAAGTAGCCTGCCGAGAGAACCGCCGCGCGACTAGAACAGCTGGCTAAGCGGCTAAGGCACCATAGTCAGCGCAGTGGCACAGGCATGTCTGAACACCACCTCAGGTCAACACAGATCATGGACTGCGACACGGCTTCAGCATGATGACAGCATGGTCATGTCGCAGTTGTGTTCAAGACGCCCTCCGAAAAGCGCTCCACGAAATTGCAGAGGTGCTGGGAGGTGCAGAACATCACGAGGTTCGGATTCTGAAGCAGTTCTCGATGAACAGCCAACCTCGGACTCCGCTTGCAACGAAAGCCACGAACGGCTGAAGCTCTGCTCCGAGTGTCGATGTCGGCTCCGCTTCCATACCCCACGGTCCAAATGGAAGATTGTAGTCATGGCCCATGACCTCATTGCGCGCGCAAGCTCTCCAAGGCCATGGCAGATCTGGCTGCTTCCCGCTGCTCGTGCCCACATCGGCTGTCGTCGGAAAGCACCGTATCAGTATCGCTGTCCAAACACGACTGACACAAAATCGCTTGAGTTGGGCGACCACGCACTTCTTGGAACTGATACTCCTGAAGGGCACCAAGCTGGGAGAGCACGGAGCTCTGCAGAAAGTGCAAGCTCCTCAGTATCTCCAGGCAGCTTCGCCTTGCTTGGATGGACACTGCCACGTCCACCACCAGATCCCCAGCACATGCACCTAGCTGACACTTGGCAGATTTCATGCGGTTGCCTCTGACAGCCCGTTTAGCCAAGCCACCCATGAGCTGGGTCATCGACCCTCGCCATGCGGTCACCTCACCCAAAAGGTTACGATTTTCCACTCAACGGAGACATCGCAGAGCTGTCTTGCTGCTTGCATCCGAGCATGCGACCTGCTTCCCACCACGTAGGGCTACCGTGCAACGCTGCGGTCCTTCCTCGGGCAGCGCCCAATTGCCAGAGCTTTCGGTGGAGTCGTTCTTCCAGTCCTGATCCGCAGCTGACACAGCTTTACCCAGGTGCCGGTGGCACTAGCTATATGGCCAAGGTGAAAGAGAACGCTTGGGGAGCATGCGAAAGCCAAATCATATGATGACAGAAAGGTAGACGCGACGCTCGACATAACATGGTATCGCCGCAGAGGCAAGACCGGAGACACCCAAGATCCAACAACGTACAAGTAACATCAAGTAACACCATGCAAACACCCGGTTTCATCTGGCATCGCTGCAGAAGCAAATGGCGCAAGATTCACACCTCCGAGATCAACGAGTTGGCAGGAACTCCTGGGTTCCTGGATGAGGCATGCCGAGGCAGTGATGGCATGAGGCGCGGCGCCGATCAGGCTGGCTAATGCTACTGCCACTGCCACTGCTACTGCTGCGGCTATTGCTATGGCTACTGCTACTGCTGCGGCTATTGCTATGGCTACTGCTACTGCTACGACGACTACTACTAACTACTACCACTAACTACTACTACGACTACTACTCCTATGCTCCCACTCCAACAACTCACTCACACTCCCACTCCTACTCCATGCCACCGTGCCGTGCCGGTTGTCAGTATCCCAGCCCTGGCCCCCTTTGGCCTCCAAAATGCTCAAGATCGCTAAAGTGCTAGAGTCCTCACAGGGCCGAATTCGTGCTCACACGGCGCATGTTCTGGGGTGCCAGTCGTTTTCCCCGCCACAGTGTGCGGGGTTCAAAGTGTAGTTTTCGGCGCGGAATGGTCCTCCCGCCGCAAGCGATCAGTGCTGTCTGCCATGGCATACATGCCCTAAGCCGTACGTCTTACGTAGCGAACAGCAAAAACTCGAATCAACACAGCGCCCCGCTGGGGAACCAAAAATCCTCCCGCGACACCACCATGCGTGCTTGGTTGTGTCACGTCACCCTGCGGATTTGCAGTTCGGAGCATCACCTGATTTATACAGTGACCTCCTAAACCTGTGGAGATGCTCCTGCAGCGGCGGACTTGCTTTGTGGCATTTCTTTGCTTTCTTTATTGCGCAAGACATGAGGCATATTCGCGACTCGGCGCCCGCTGCCAACTTGCAGCTGAATGCTCTGCCTACATGCCGCTGGAAGGAGCAAAATCGAGCAAGCGTCCGTCTGCCCGGAAGTTGCGTGTTGAATGTGCCATGTTCTCGCTGATGCTTCCAGAACCGAAGGTCCTCAAGCGACGATTCTCCGACGATGCTACTTGCGACCGGTAGTAGTCTCAGCAGGGAGTGCGCGGAAACACGTGCCACCGAAGATAACTTTAGCCCCCAGACATGTTGCGGGCTGGCTGCAGTTCAAGGCGCATAGATCAATAGCGCCGTCAGCAGGACACCTTCTGTGCACATGATGTCGCGCAACAGCGCCTGAACCAAGACACACAAGCAGCGGGAAAAACTGGCATTACCCATCATTGCTCGTCTGCAGATCTCTGACGTCTCTTCAGTGCGTCTACAATCCTAGCATGCAGGCATAGTAATGACACATTGCCTTGCAAACAAACCAGGGTTGTGGTCGGGAGCTGAAATCAAATCAAGATTTCCTAAGGCCTGCCCCGACTAAGCTGTCTAAGGAGTGCAAGACGCGAGTTGCATGATAATGTAGCCCCTGCAAGCTGCATTCCATTGATACGCATTGTTGGAGAGCCAGGATCAAAGCAGGGCCACAGTTTGGCCCATGTAGAACTTGATCTACACTCTGTGGTTTGGCAGTGACCAGTGCACGGCCGTCTGTACCGACAGACCAGTCCAAAAGCTGAAAGACTCTGGTAGTCAGTGTAAACGACGACATGGCACTATCAGTGCCATTCAAGCGTGTGTCGATTTATTCGCAGCTCTAGCAGGGAAGGGGCTTTCCAGCCGACAACCTTCCTTGTGTTTTGTGTTTGGGGAGACCGGAGACGATTCTGTTCACAGAAAGACTACTGGAATGCCCCAACAGCAGATCAGTTGGACGGGTAATTCTTGCCGGGGCTACGTTTGCAAGCTGGACTTTCGTGTTGCTGTTGACCCGTGTGCTGATCAGTCATCTCCACCTACCCGGATAACCCTCTACTCCACGTGTAAACACATTAAGTGGCGGCCGGTGCCTGCGCAGCGTAGCGCCGCCCGTTGCCAGTTGTTGACACCATTCCCAAGTCCTGGCTTGCGGTAGTGGCAGCAGTGGCTGTCATGCTTCGCTTCTCTTAGCAGCTCCCAGGCTTGTGGGGCACAAAGATCCGACTGAGCGTGCTGCAAAAAGACTCGTTTCATCGAACTCATCCTGACAATTCGCGATTGGAACACTGCTTCACAGCTGCACACCACCAAACCAAAGCAACACATGTGAAAATCCTGGGTGGCGACGACGGCAATTCGTAGTGCAGACGCATCCTCTGCAAAGAGAAGCAACTGTTGGGCTTCAGCACAGACCGCTACGCAGCGCTAAAGTGCCGGGTGGATCCTCGGGCTCATCGGTCGCTGCTTGCGCAGGCCTGAAGGTGAACCGCACGGCTGAACGGAGAAGGCACAATAAATCCGATACAGTACCCGTGCCTGACGAGGAGGTCAACACCGGGTTGCACCGTCGCAGCAGCAAGGAGTTGGCTTCCAGGCCCAGGCGGTCTCAGATAAAGCAAACCTGCAGGAAACTCGAAGGACAATGTTGACTGAAAGCTATGGAGACTTGTCGGACGTGCCTCCGTAGAGAACGATGCCGGAGAGGCCTCGATCCTCACAAAAGGCCTCCACTCGCGAGGTCCAGGCATGTTGAATGAAATACTTTTTTCCTCGTACCGTCATGCCGTCATACATGATTTCGCCAATTTGTAGAGTAAGACACGCTTTCACCTGATTGTTTTTCGGCATGGGGCCAAAGCCCAGCAGCCCAACCGACCATACTAGAACGAGACCTCAGGCGAAGGAAGTGTGCAGACATTTCGGGAGATGTCGGCAGGTTACAGGCTAGGCTTTCTCCTCGAGAGATAGCAATGCCTTGGCACCTGCCAGCTTGGCCAGCGCCACTGGTCTGCCGACATCCTGCACGGACATGCACGTTGACTCCTGAGTTGCACCCAAACCGTCTGTACCAATATACACGTACATGAAGATATATGTAATCACGTCCCATACATACATGCAAGACCCCTGCGGTTTGCTCGTTTTACGAATAGGTCCATGAAATGCATAGAAGCCCAAACCATTTAGACCAACACCCCACCAGGAGGAAGATCTTGACTAGAAAAGCCTAAAAGAAACGAAAGAAGCAACACCAAGATGACCAACATCCCCGCGGAGATCCAAAACCAAAAAAACAACACAAAAACAAAGAACCAACACCAACACAGCCTAGGAACGATCCAAAATCAAATAAAACAAAGACACCAATTCTTTTGGTTTTGGTTCTTTTGGTTCTCGGATTTTCCTTCTCGTGATCTTGCTTCGTCTGCTTTTTCTTGTTTTTTTGGTTGTGGATCTCTTCTGAGATCTTTTTATGTCTCTAGTCTCGACATGTACAAG